CTCACCAGACAGAGAGAGACAGAGAGACAGAAAGTGAGAAATCACCCCCCGCAGGGAGGATGGCCACACCACAATCCGTTCTCCATGCTCCTCTCAGGATCTTGGGCATGTGTGCACACACACCCAGCGTGAGTTGAAGCCACCGGCTCCGGGACTCGAACCAGGATCGACTACATGGGAGTCCAGCAACACAGCCATTATGCTAACTGCTGGTCCCGATCCTAATTTTCTGATTTAGAATTTTGAGGCTGTTATACTTCAGGCAGAATACTGAAAATAACTCAAAAGTCTAGAGCTGACTGGAAGCTGTGAATACTGCAGCAGTCCCTCCATCCCCGGTCTTTATTCTAAGTGTCTTTTACTACTTTGTGACAGTCACATGAGTGTCTTCTATGGAGGGCTGAAGATGCTGGCTTTGCCTCTACCCCATCCACAAAGCAGCTCAGCAGCACTGCGCGTCCTGTCTGACTCTCGTTTCTCTATCGATTGCAGGTGCACCGTGCCGATGCGGGACAAGGAGGGAAAACAGGACTACAGGTGATTACTCCTCACGTCTGAGAGCGTCCCAGGTCGCAGCTCGGGGCGTGTCTCAAATCCATCTAAAAATGAGCACCACAGGCTGGCCTCATGGCACGGTGGGTGAGGGAGCTGGACCTCACCTGGCCCACCACGTGGTTCGAATCCCAGCTTGGAAAACATGCCGTGTGTGTGCATGCAGGGTGAAAGGATAGAGAAATGGAGGAAGAGGGATCGCAGCATGCCCAGGCCCTTCCGAGGGTGCTTTCTCCTTCTCTGGAGAGTACACATTGCCCCCTGGCAACATTTTTTTAAAAAGTCAACACAGTATGGCCGACTTCACCACAGCTACAGGGCATTGCTCAAGGGAAGCTGGATCCCACGCGGTGACTGCGGCTCCAATCCCCTGCTCAGTCCCTCTGAAACACACTGGGTGTGTGTGTGACCCAGGATGTGACAGGCCAGAGAGTTGGAGGACAGGTCCACAGCATGGTCAGATCCTCGGAGGGCGCCCCTCTGTCTCACGCTTGCACGCACATGCATGTGCTCTATCATGAATAGAGAAAGGAGTGGTTTTTAAAATAAGGAGCCGACCTCATAGCGCAGTGGCTAGGTATGGTGCCTTGAGAGCCAGATCCTGTATGACTGACTGTGGTTTGAATCCTGGCCCCAGCAGCTTGAAAAACAATGTGCACAAGTGTGTGTGTGTGCACGTGCACACACGTGAATACGTGTACATGCTCAGACCCAGACTACTGATGGGAAGGAGAAGTCGAGGAGCAGGAACTGTGCTGTGACCACAGCCCTTGGGGGGCGGCTTTCTGTCTTTCTCACCTCCTCTCTGGCCAGGACATGCATCTTCTGTCAGTTAATAAAAAATCAACATAGTGGTCCTAGACCGTTGTTAAGAACCAAACTAAAACTCACTGTTGTTGGCATGAAATGGAAAGAGGGTTTTTAGCTCATTCTCTGTTAGCGTAAATCATCGTCCACTATGGGGGTGCAGGACAACCACATGTGCGATGAGCAAGTCGGGGGACCTGCCCACCCGCCACACCTGGCAGAGGTCGCGACTTCCCGTGTCGTGTGTGCCCTGAGCGAGGGGATGCCGTCTTGGTTTGGTAGCCCCGAGTGCCTGTGTGATGGGCTCCAGCCGTGGGAAGACGCTTGTCCACTGCTCTCCGTGACAGCGCTAGGACGATGGCAGTGCTGGCGGCGCCTGGCCTGCCCTTCCTCTCACACTCAGTGACACAGCCAGTCCCGCTCAAAGCTCCTTGACGAAAAATGTGAAAAGGCCTGTCTCTGTCGCTGGCAGTTCCCTCCAGGCCTCGAGCGATGTTTTATTGATAAATTAATTAAGCAGGTGGGATTTAATATAGGATCTGCAAATAAAGCAACTAATACAGATAAGCTTAAGGTAGGCGGAAGCTTTTATGTTTCCCGTCGAATTGAGCAGATTATAACAAACAGCAGAGTCGTGGAAGTGAGCCTCACCTTCGGGAAGGGCAGGAAGATGGAGGAATAGCTGCTTCTGTCGGTGGGGATCAAATGTGGCTAGGAGGGAGAGGAGTGAGTCCGTAAACCCTTAGAGTGAACCTCGCCCGGGGACTCCTGTCATGCGACTCTCAAAGTCAAGATCCTTTGAATGGCGGTGACCTCCTAGGCTCTGCCTGTCCTTCCACGAAGCTGCTTTGTTCGAGCGTGGTCGCTCCCTCCTCTCTGCAGCTTATCTGCTGTGTGGAGCTTGGCTTTCAACTCAGCCGGTGACTTCAGCTCCATCCCTCACGTTAACAGACGGACAGTTCCAGGAAGCCTCCCCTTGGCGTCCCCTAGCTTTCAGAAGTCAGACTGATGCATGGCGGAGCGCGCACCTCTGATCCGCTGCCCTCGCGCCGCCGTCCCTTCTCGTGCCTGCTCTTACATAAGCCCTGCGGCAGTCTGGGCGGAGGGGAAGCCTTAGCGCTGGGGCAGGGCAGGGAGGGCTGGCTCCGCTTCGCCAGAGAGTGTGCGTGCTGCAGCTTCCACAGTTGTAAAAAATTAACTGACTTTATTTTTTACAACCCTTTTAGATTTAAAGCAAAATTGAGTGGAAAGTACAGAGAGTTGCCATGTACTTTCCATCCCTAAATATCACCCCCCCTGCAAACACACACACACACACACACACACACACACGCATGCGCACACACATGCACAGCTTTGCCTTTTTTTTTTTTAGGTTTTTGCTATAGACAGAGACAGAGAGAGGGAAAGGAAGAAATCACCCCCCGGAGAGAAGGCCATGCCTCAGCCCCTTCTCTATTCTCCTCTCAGGATTTTGCATATGCACGCACACGTGTGCGCGTGATTTTTCAAGCCTCTGGATCTGAGACTTGAACTCAGCTATGTTGGAGTCCAGTCCCTTCACCACCACACCATCTGCTTGCCCCAGTTCACCTTTTTATTTAAAAATTTTGCTAGAGGGTGCATGCACCCTCCGGATTGAGACACAGACAGAAAGAGGGAAAGTGAGAAATCACCCCATGGGGGTTGGCCACGCCATAATCCATTCTCTTCTGTTCTCCTCTCAGGATTTTGGGCATACACGTATGCACATAGCTGTTGTGATTTTCAAGCTGCTGGGTCTGGGACTCGAGCCACGCAGTCAGCCATGTGGGATCCAGCACCTTAACCTCCGTGTCACCTGCTGGTGAAGAGTCAACTGTTACCTGCTTGTCACGTCAGTGCGTGCGCGTTACGAACCGACGTGGCTCCTTGCTAGCCGAGGCCTTTAGAGTACAGTGGGGTCCCCTCTGGTGTGGACTGTGGGTTTTGACCTAGTGTAATGACGTGTATACATCGTCACTGTGTCACGGTCATTCCGGTGCCCTAGAGATGCCGTGTGCTCCCCCTAACCACCCGCCCCTCCCTCTCCTCCAGCTGCCACATCTGACTTAGACAAAATCCAGTTATTTCTCCAATCTTGCGAGAAGAACATTTTTCCTTTGCTTTTTCATTTATCATACAAATGCTGGTAAAATTAATGGAATGTGTAAATGAGGACAGGGCCTCTCTCTCCTCCTGTAAGTAAGTTTGTTGTCATTGGCTCCCAAGTTTTTCCAGCCCGTGTCTTTAGGAGTAAACCTACGCTTTACCCACAGTTATGAAGCGCAACGTGGCTTCAATCCTGCGTTATGCTTATTTGCTCATCGTTATTTTATAAGCGTGGGGTGTGGAGGGTTTGGTGGTTTTGACACTGACAGAGACTTCCCTGGGCGCAGAACTGGTAACTGTGGGACCTAAGACACGGTGTCCATGTCACTGGGAGCTGGTTCTCTTCATTCACGCACGCCCTCCGGATTCAGGCCCCTCTGCCCTCTCTGCCTAGGTTCATGCCGGAGCCCAACCTGCCTCCTCTGCGGCTCTATGACGACGCCTCGTCTCCACCTGCAGGCACGGCCTCCCAGCAGGTGGTCAACATCGACCGGATTCGAGAGACGCTCCCCGAGCTCCCCGGAGTCACCCGAGAGAGGCTCGTGCGGCAGTACGGGATGCTGCCGGAGCACAGCTTCACCCTGCTGGTAGGTGCTGACTGCCGCAGCCCGCCCGGCCTGCAGAGTGGGCCGTGTCCGACCGAGGCCCCTCTGCACGGTCGTCTGCTGTGGGTGCCGAGCAGAGGGGCCGGTTTCTTCGGTTGTGTTCTAGGTGCTTCTGGAAAGTCAAAGGTATAGCAGCTTTTTGCTCTCTGGGCTTGATCGTAAATGCTTCTCATAAAGCCAGAAGAAACTCATGCCTGTCACCTCTCCTGTGTGGAAGGGAACGGCTGCTCAGAGCAGCCGCAGAGGCTTCTGGAAGATGGTCCAAACGTTTTGGATGAGCGTCTTCCCGTGTGTCTGCAGGACAAGAGAGAATCGATAGAGAGGGTTTCTAGGTGTCTGGCGGTATCGAACCATGATGGGGTCTGGCATGGTGTTAGTTCTCAAAAGCCAGCTGGTTTATAGTTGCTCCAGCCATGGCAAAGAAAACATTTATTCCACCCCAAGTAGCAGTCCTCGGAGGCTGGCGAGTGCATCTAAAGGGGCCATTAGAGATTCTGGCACCGCGGAGATGTGCTCCGGGATTTTTCACCCTTTTCAGAGCTCCGCGGGGCTCTGCGTTTCCTTTGTCATGGCAACATTAAAGTGATACGGCCTCGGCCTCGGGGAGCCCAGGCGTTTGTCACAGTTGTCTGCCTCTCCTCTGTCGGGGAGGGAGCGGAAAGTTTGCTGCTGCATCATTCCAGGGGGTAGCTGTGTGTTTGCCGCACTCCTCTTCCGGAGTGGCGGAATCTAGGGAAATCCGGTATTTCCTCTGTAAATGATCAGTAGCAGCCATGGAGGGCCGTGAGACCGTGTATATATGTCTGTCTGTACACTGTAGCAGCAGCCCAGCAGTTTATAGAACGAGGCAGGCAATGGGCTGTTTGCTGAGTGAGTGATCCTGTCGTGCTCAGCCATCACTCAGCTGCTCTGAAAAGTACCTAGAGTCTTACGTGGAACCTCCTCTTGTACGGGGGCACGGCGATGCGGTGGCTGGCGGGCCGGAGCGAGGATCGCAGAGTGGCAGGACCTTGATGTGGGTGTCTGTCTCTCTTCTCTCTTCTTTCTCTAGGGGGAGAAAAACAACTTAGAAAAGAAACCCTCTCACTCCCCGTAATGATGAGGCATGCCCAGTTATTTTTGTAGCTCTCTGGCGGAGTTACCCCCTGCCTGCCCTGTGTCTCCCTCCTACCTCTGTGGCGGCGGTGTCTCTGTTTTAATTATTGATTAGTGTGTGTTGCTCAGCACCTTGAAGGCAAGGACTGTTGCATCCTCGCTGGAGCCCGGCAGAGGTTAGCAGAGCCGTGCTGAGTGCCCAGTCTCTGCCTGTGTGAATCAGCCTCCCAAAGAGTTGCTCCCAACCCAGAGCCTCCCACAGTATGTGTGTTTCTCTGAGGGTGCTGGAGCAAACCGAGCTGCAGCGTTCCACGTCTTCCCCGCCGTCGAGACCACTTGAATTTCCTGCTTACTTGAAATACTGAGTCCCAGACCTGCATTTTATGACTGTCATGTCGTACAGGGGATGGAGGACGGGGATCAAGGCTTCTCAGCCTCAAAGGCTTCAGTGACCGCCTCCGCTTGGCATGTGACCACCTGGACAGAAACCAGCCCTCTGAGTTAGCGTGCAGGGAACCAAGGGGTTTTTTGGGCCATTTCTTTGCTTAAGGCTGACATCAGAGAAGAATTCACTGTCACATTACAAATTCTTTTTGTAAATCATCTTTCTCCATAAAAACAGTAAAAGGACCTTCCAGAATCTCCTCTCAAGAATATGGCTGGGGGCCAGCAGGTAGCATTGTGGTTAAGGCACTGGCCTCCCACATGGTCGACCACGGTTTGAGTCCCAGACCCAGCAGCTTGAAACACACTGGACGCATGCGCGTACCCAAGATCCCAAGGAGAGTGAAGGAGAAGCAATTGCAGCCTGACCGTTCCTTCTGGGGGGGTGATTTCTCACTTTCCGTCTCTCTGTCTCTCCAGCAAGTGCACATACCCCATAGTAAAAAAGAAAAATAAAAAAGCTGTTTCTTTTCGCAGGGCATCATGTGAAAACGGTGCCCCTGTGAAGAGCACCTGCCCAGGGTCGCCACACGCAGTCCTCCATGAGCACGTGGGGACAGTGCCCGCCTCACCTCATGGGCCTGAACTCTGGGGGGCAGGGATGTTTCCATATTCCTGTCTGTGTCCCAGTCTGCATTCTTGTCTCCTTCCTGTAGCCCCTGACTAGGTGTTTGCTGAGGGGTGGCAGATGAGCGAATCTGCATTTGAAAAGCGGAAGGCCCAGTTTAGGGACCTGCCTTTGTTTATTTAGTGCCACAGCCCACTAGCCTCTCCTGTGTAGCAGGTGCTGAGAAGGGGACAGAGGGTGTTTTATTTTGCTTTGTTTTAAAAAAAGATGTTTCTTTTGTCTTCCAAGAGTTTATATATAGGGGCTAATGGGTGGCGTGGTGGTTAAGGTGCTGAACTCCCACATGGCTAACCATGATTTGAGCCCAGACCTAGTAGGTTACCTTCTCGCTTTCCCTCTCTCTCTCTGTCTCTCTCTGGTGAGCGTGCCTATAGAAAAACTTAAAAAATAAACAATATGTGTGTGTGTGTGTGTGTGTGTGTGTGTGTGTGTGTATGTAATTTTCTTTTTGGTCAATATCCAATTTCAGTTCCAGCAATTTCTACCTGAATGACCTGGGTTACTGTTCTTCTCAGAGCCTGTTGTCTCATATGTTAAAAAGGGCTGAAAACAATAACCCGATGGAAAAACGGCAAAGGACGTGAGGGATAGCCTACCAAAATAAATAAATAAATAAATAGATTAAAATGGCCATACAACATTTTTAAAATGTTCAGTTTTACTCATTAGAGAAATGCAAATTAATGGCAAAAAAAAAAAAAAAAAGAAAAAGGTG